TGGGCAAGTCCCAAGCACAAATACAGGCTGGACAGTGAATGGATTGAGAGCAGCACTGAGGAGAAGGACTTGAGGGTGGTGGTTGGTGAGAAGCCCAACAGAACCTGCCAGTATATGCTTGCAGCCCACAAAGCCAACTGTATTCTGGGCTGTATTGAGAGAAATGTGGCCAGCAGATCAAGTGAGGTGGTTGTGCTCCTCTACTGCACTCTCGTGGGACCTGAACTGGAGTACTGCATCGAGCTCTGGAGTCCTCAGCAGCGGAAAGACATGGACCTGTTGGAGAGGGTGTAGAGAAGGGCCAAGGGCTGGAGCACCTCTCCTATAAGGAAAGGCTGAGAGTGTTGGGCTTCTTCAGCCTGGAGAAGAGAAGTCTCGAGGGAGAGATGTTTTATCACCTTCCAGTACCTGAAGGGGCCTAGAAGAAAGAATAGGAACAAACATTTTAGTACAGCCTGTTGCAAAAGGACAGGGAGTAATGGTTTTAAACGAAAAGAGGATAGATTTAGACTGGGTATAGGGAAGAAATTTTTTACAGTGAGGATGTGAAACATTGGCACAAGTTGCTCAGAGAGGTGGCTGTCCCCACTCTGTCTCAGGGTGGACAGGGCTCTGACCAACCTCATCTAGTTGAAGATGTATATCCCTGCTCATTGCAGGGTTGTTGGACTAGGTGACCTTTAAAGGCTCCTTCCAATCCAAACTATTCTGTGATTCTATGAAGTTACCTAGATGTCAACTCCTATGAAATAGGCATTTTCAATTGCTTGATAGAACTACGTCTGTTAAATAGAAAAGCTTCTTAGAGCAGTTTGACAAATATATTGTAATGAATTCTCCAAGCACAAGTAAGGCTGCTGCTGAATGGGGAGAATCTGCTTGGCCTCATCTCTAAGAACATGGCACAACGGAGGTTGCCAGCATGGGAAATGGGAGGCTCAAGTGACATGGTGGATAAAATTCCGAAGTGCAGGTCTTCACATGGGAAAACGTGCACTTTTCCCACTTCTGGTGCAGTGCCATGACTCTTTGCTGCTCCCTGTAGGTAGCACCTGGATCTGGAAACTGAAGAGGAGCTGGTGGTTGATGTGGGAACATGCAACTGTGCAGTGCTGCTACAGAGGGCTGGGAGGTGACAACAGGGAGAGCTAATACCTTTTCGGTCCTTTCTGTTCTGCATTGCCTCCTTAAATCAATTGTTGTGTATGGCTAGTACTAGGTAAATCATGCCAATCGTCCATTGAATATCCCTTTTCTTTAAGCAACACAATCTCACCTTGGTAAGGCCTCACTTAAGAGGCTGACTGTTTTAAAGATAACAGCCGAGTTCAGAACTTGTTGAAGTAACTTCCGTATCTTGTTCCTGCATGATCTACTCTAGGGGATCCTGCTCTGGAGGGGGGTGGACTAGATGATCTCTAGAGGTCCTTCCCAACCCCTTCTACTCTGAGAATCTGTGAGTCTTAAGGGAAGTTGAGTGCTTCCACCAGGTTGAAACTGGTCCACTGTTGTTTACTTTTCTGTAGAATGGTATCACCAAGACATTTGATGATCAAGGGAATGGAGCACCTCTCTGATGAGGAAAGGCTGAGAGAGCTGGGTCTGTTTAACCTGGAGAAGACCGAGAGGGGATCTCACCAATGCAACATATCTAAAGGGTGGGGGTCAAGAGGATGGGGCCAAACTCTTTTCAGTGATGCCCAGAGACAAGACAAGGGGCAACAGGCACTAAATGGAACACGGGAAATTCCATCTCAGCATGAGGAAGAACCTCTTTGCTCTGAGGGAATGCACTGGAATGGGCTGCCCAGAGAGGTTGTGGAGTCTCCTGCTCTGGAGGTATTCAAGCCCCACCTGGATGTGTGCTGCTGCAACATGCTCTAGGTAAACCTACTTATACAGGGGGGTTGGACTGGATGATCTCCAAAGGTCCCTTCCAACCACTACCATTCTGTGATCTTTCCTATCAGGCAGTAATGTGTTTAAAAGTAACATAAAATATGTGCAATGCAATTTTTCTTTTTGTAATGTTCATAAATTCTTTGGTGATACAATCTACTGAATTGTAATAAATAGCTCTCGCTGATTTTGTAAAGCTGTAGTGTTTAAAATAACAAAAGTGAGAAACACTAAAAACAGATTTCAGTATTATACATAGGTAATACAAGATTGAAATGGGGTAATTTGCTCTTTATAGTGTTCTCTGTACAGCTGTTAAATATTAGTGAAGTTCTAAAAATGAAACAGGCTGTAAAGTAGCTTGTAGAGATATGAAAACAGCTGAGATTTTATCTAAGATCTCAGTGTGGTTTTTAGTCTAATCTTATATTTTGTACTTGAACGTGACAAGTAATCTTAAAATCTTACTTCTACCAATCTTCAAATTCCATGTTGTTCTATTTTAGTGACATTTTCTCTTCCTTTATGCCACACGTGAAAGTAAAATGTAACCTCTTATCCGTGCTGCTGCTGATTACAATGTTAAAATAGGTTTTTGAAATCTTTCATCCAGACTGTATTTTTGACACTTCTTCATAGGTCCTGGAACTCCAGTTGTAAAAAACTACACTGCTGCTGCTTCCAATAAAATTATCAGAAGTTTTCTTCGTTTTAAGGGAATATAATCAACATTTTTGAGAAGAGTATAGTCCATTGGGGTGCCAAGAGGCTCAGTTTGAAGGAAGTCTGAACTGTCGGCTTGTCTAGACCAGACAGCTTCTGCCAGCTTTTGTGTATCAGTCGAGTTAGGTGTTGGGGGGGAGCTACCACATTGTTGTGCAAACATCACCAATGACATCCTTCTGTTCGTTGGCTCCTAAGGTTTATGTGAAGAATAGTTTTGCACAACTAAAATGTTTATCAATATATTTCACTTTATTAATTAGGAGCGATGATATTAAATACATCCAAAAGAAAATTCGTTTTTATTTGATAAATTGGCTTTTTGTTGTCAGCACTGAATTGGCTATTGTCTAATATTTTCTGTGGTTTGGTGTTTTGTTTGTGTGGGGTTTTTTTTGTTGTTGTTTTGTTTGGTTTTTTTTTTGGTATCAGAATAAAAATGCAACACTTGTCTAAAATTGAAAGCAGACTATTTCACCAAGGAAGAATATGCCCTTGTCAGAGATTATCATAGAATGAGTTCTGTCAGACTTTTCAAGAAATTACACTGACATTTTAAGGTGGTGGAATTCACCTCATTGTACTCCAATATCCGGGATTGGTAATTGAGAGCACATGCCAGCATGTCACTCACAGCTGTGTTTAGAAGCATCCCTTATACATTCTGTCAGTACAATGGCTAGTTTGAAACATAAATTGTTAAGCTTTTTCTTTTTTAATATTTCATTAGACTACTACTTTTGTTAAATATTTTTGTAAATGCCTTTTAAATGTTTTTCTTGTGCAATGCATGAATTCTTGTAAACTGGGAATTGTCAGAAGGCTATCTGGGAGCATAGTGGAAAGGCACGGGCAAGAAGCATGCAAGGCCTGCTTTGAACAAACTAGAGCACTGTCCATGTTTGAATCCGTCTTGGTTTATTCTTTTAAACCAGCTATTGATGTGATGAGCCTCTACATTCCTGCAGAAGTAATAGATTTATATTATTAACTCTATGGTTAGTAGCAAACTTTTCAGGGATTTAATTTCTAAGTTCAAATGAAGATATCGATTCAAAGTGAATACATAAATATTTCTGAAGAATCTTATGGTAGGGGGAGGATATTTTGAATATTTTTATACATATAAATTAAAGAAGCATTAGTATGTTGAGGCTTTTTCGCTTTAAACCTGTTTACTCTGGTTTTGAAGACTGTTCTGAATTTTAAAAACTACATTGTCATCCTACTTACTAGTCTTTTGTTTTGCCTTTCTCCTCCCTGTTTCCCCCACCCCTTGGTAAGAGACCTCTCTGGTTCTTATAGTTCATCCTTTTTTTGATGTGGTTTTAATGTGGTTTGATGCACACAGTGCAGAAAACCTTTTGCGCTCCTTCTTCAGCCTGGAGAAGAGAAGGCTCCGGGGAGACCTTATAGCAGCCTTCCAGTTCCTGAAGGGGCTACAAAGAAGCTGGGGGGGACTTTTTACAAGGGCCTGTAGTGACAGGACGAGGGGTAACGGGGTTCAATTGAAAGCAGGGAGATTTAGATTGGACATCAGGAAGAAATTCTTCCCGGAGAAGGTGGTGAGGCTCTGGAACAGGTTGCCCAGAGAAGCTGTGGATGCCCCATCCCTGGAAGTGTTCAAGGCCAGGCTGGATGAAGCTTTGAGCAACCTGGTCTAGTGGAAGGTGTCCCTGCCCATGGCAGGGAAGTTGGAACTAGATGGTCTTTAAGCTCCCTTCCAACCCAAACCATTCTGTCATTCTATGGTGGTATTTTTCTGAACCTACACAGCAGTTATATTCATGTGTAACACATTTGTCTGATAATGCTTAAACTTATAGTACATGTTATATATGAAGAAAAAGGTGGTGTGTCCCTGGCTCATATAACAGACATGGCAGTCAGAACAAGGATCAGCAGTTGAGAGACCTCTCTCTCTTGTTTTTAAAGAACCTCTTCTGGTGAGGTTTTAAGGCTTGGATCTATGGATTGTAATAAGAATTTTTCCTTCCTTCTCCTCCTCCATCCCTTCCCCCCTCTTTACTTGAGTCCTTCATGAATCAATTCAATCTGTGTGGGCTCATGCTTGGTGGAAGGGAGGGGACCCAGCCCACCAAAGCATGGAAGTCCCCCCTTTCCCTTCCCAAAGTTAGGATCAACATGGGTTGCTGTATTGCTTGTTACAGAGTAGACTCTGATTGTAGTTCAAAAACCAATTCGGGGGCAATGGCATGAGGAGGTCTGTGCTAGCTAGTTCTCTATCATTCAATTCAATAATTACAGAGGCCAAAAGCCCTTGGCCATATGAGAATCTATTAAGAGTTGGCAGATTGTTTGCCAAGTATTTGCCCTTTTCGGGCTATTATGAAGATATTTTGTGATTTTTGGGACAGGACCTTCAGGTGAGGTTATTGTTCTTGATGTGGTAAGAAGAATCCCCAGAAATGGTGGCCTGGTAAAGGCCTTCACTTACTCTATTTTTCTGCATAGCTCCCAGGTGCATGCTGTAGTGACCAGGAATCCTAATCCTCTGATTGCATCTGGCAGCACTTGGAATTCTTTTTTCCCACATGAATTCCAGCCACCATTTAAAATAAAAATTTTCAGACCAGTGTAGTGACAGGTTGTTTTTTTTTAGGAGTGTTTGGTTGGGGTTTTTTTAATTACTATTATTTTTGTTTGGTTGGTTTTTTGTTTGTGTGTGGGGTTTTTTGTTGTTGTTGTGTTTTTTATTATTCCCCCTTGCTGCTTTCGCTGTGATGAATGAGTTCACTCCTAGAGAAGGAGGTGCACTTCCCACTCCCCCAGCCATCCCCCCGTATTATTGTTGTGTGGTTTAGTGTTGTGTTTCTTGGTTTTTGGTGTTTTTTTTTTTTACCTTAAGATTGTCTGAAAGGTCTTGGAGAGGTGCATGTTTCACAATGCTGTTTTGTGACACTATTTGTTCTTAAAACCTGAAGTAAAGCAAACTCTTTCTACATGGTCACATGAGCTTTGAGTCACCTGATGTCTGGGAATTTTTCTGAAAATGAGGACCTAACTCTTAAGTAATATCTTTGTCTTTCATAGAAAAAGATGAACAGATCAAGTCTTTCCTTTCATAGTGTTTCTAAATGGTGATACTTTTTTTTTTTTTTTTTTTTGCTTAGAAATGGTAAACTGAACTTGTACTTTCTACAATTCCTTAATCCGGTAGGCCACAGGCCAACCGTACCTTCTTTGTAATAGTAAAGTAAGTAGGCACTATGAATAGTCTGCTGCTCAAGTAGTCAAAATGAGTCTTCAGGAGTGTAAATTTACTTTTAAAAAAGATTAATACTCTGTCTGGTAGAGCAGAAAAATGCATGGAGTTGACGTATCATGGGGCTAACAATTTTAATTTGTGTTTGAACAATGATGTATAACGCCCATGTCTTGTTTCTGTACTCAGAATTGCATAATTTGAACATGTGCTTTGGCATGTTATGTGTATACACCTGTATGTAAGTAATACAGAATTTTAAAATGCCATACAATGAATTTAACCAAAGTAACTTCAAAATTTGAGGAAGTTGGCGAGAGTAAAAACACTTCATGAAATTTTCAATTTCTGCTTTCTCAATTTTAAGCTTATGCATCTTTTTTCAAGGCAAATAATTGTAACTAAATACATGTTCATAATAAATCTGTTCTATATTATTCACAATCACAGTCTAGCATATTTATATCTTTGTTTCATAGCATTAAACAATGTAGTCTGACATTTTGAGTTACATTTGTGAACAGGCTTTTGTGTTGATGTCAATGTCATGAGACAAGAATACAGCTAAAAGCCATGCCAAAACTTCTGGTGGGACACATTACTTTTGGATACAGAACTGAAATAAAACCTATTGTACCATTCCGTAGTTGGTATTTGCTTCAAACTACTGTCTTTCTGCTAAACTAAAAGTAAATATTCTTAAGGCATAGGTGAACATACATGGGGCACACGTGTATGCATGGGCTCTCTGTGTATGCATGGGCTCTCTGTGTATGCATAAGCATAATACATATTTTTCTCCATTCGTAAACAATTTTGTTTTCTTCTCAGTGGGATGCCATAACTGAAATGGATGAACACAATCGTCCAATTCATACCTACCAGGTCTGTAATGTGATGGAACCAAACCAAAACAACTGGCTTCGAACGAACTGGATCTCTCGTGATGCTGCACAGAAAATTTATGTCGAAATGAAGTTTACCCTGAGGGACTGCAACAGTATTCCATGGGTACTGGGAACCTGCAAGGAAACTTTCAATCTCTACTACATCGAATCAGATGAGTCTCATGGAGTAAAATTCAAGCCAAACCAGTACACTAAAATTGACACTATTGCAGCTGATGAGAGCTTTACCCAGATGGACCTGGGTGACCGCATTCTTAAACTCAACACAGAAGTTCGTGAGGTGGGGCCAATAAACAAGAAAGGATTTTATCTTGCTTTTCAGGACATTGGAGCATGCATTGCTTTGGTCTCAGTCCGTGTTTATTACAAAAAGTGCCCTTTCACGGTCCGTAACTTGGCTATGTTTCCTGATACTATTCCAAGGGTTGATTCTTCGTCTTTGGTGGAAGTACGGGGCTCCTGTGTGAAGAGCGCTGAGGAACGTGATACTCCAAAATTGTATTGTGGAGCAGATGGGGATTGGCTTGTGCCTCTAGGACGATGCATCTGCAGTATAGGATATGAAGAGGTGGATGGATCCTGCCATGGTAAGAAAATAGTTTGTCTTTTTTTTTAATAAAATAGTCCTAAGTTGTTGTATGCACACCAAATAGCTCATTGTATATTGGAAATATTGCATCCCATTTTCAAGGAATGCCTCTTGTCTGGAAATAAGCATGGTTCTTTAAAGTCACGATATTGTGGGTTTCTAAGAAAACATTTAATTACTAAAGATGGACCTTCATTCTGTCTAACTGTAGGTGTCTACAACATACATGTGTGTAGATCAGCTTCTCACGCAGACTTCTGTAGTTAGTGGAGATAAGTGCGTGCTTCAGAGCAGGATTCCTCTGCCATGTTTTTGGTATCTAAGATGAGCACTGACTGAGAAAATTAAAATCTGTGTTTTTCCTCCATATCCCTAAAAAGGGAATATAGTCAATTAATTCCAACACAGATCTTTCCTGTAGGCATGTAAAGGCAGAGGAGAATAATTCACCCGAGGAGATAATATTATTACCCATGCTTCTGGAGTAAAACAAAGGCTTTTAAATATGTCCATGTTAGCGTAATAGAAAATCAGTAGATACCAAGTTCAATGTGGGTCCCTATCCAGAGTTCATGTAAAAGTTATTAAAATCATATTATGAGGAAAACATTTTGTGCACTTTTAAGTAATACTATGTCTCTGGTACTTTTCCCTCCCCCGTCCCCCCAGGGCTAATGTATGGATGTAGTAAGACAGATTGTCTATGAGACAAGTGTGTGTACATCACTTAGCAGCTGAATGGTTTTTTACCACCTTCTTCTACCTTAAGACTTGCCCATCTGAGGATAAGCTGTACTGATTCCTTTTCAAGGACTTTGCAGAGACCACACTCTATGCTGGAGTTTGGAGCACTGCACCTTGTCAGTATTACAGGGAATTAAGGGTGTTGCAAATCAAGTTAGCAACTGGGAGATGCTCACAAAAGGAAAGTGAATTTTTTTCCCTTATCAGCTCCTCACTTTCATAGGTAAGACAGTGAACACATGCATAAGCAAAAAGCATGTCTTCTGCAGAATCCAAGTGTTGTTGTGGATCAATAACACCCTTTCTGCCGGTCTTGAAAGGGTGGTTGCATTTTGATGATGGTTGAACTTTGTGATAACTGGATTTCATGCACAAATGGAAAAAATCAGAATACTACAACTTTTGTGCTGTTTATAACGTGAATACATTGCTAAAACTTTTTAAATCCCATGGTATAATTCTGTGTAGCGCAAGCTTCTGAGCTTTTGTGGATTCGAGACCGATATCCATGGAGCATGTGCATATGTTGAGACTTATTTTTCACCTTCCAGGACTGCTGGATAGGTTATGCTTACTTAATCATGGAAGGCATGTGTCTTTGTACTGGAGAGTTCCTTGGTAATTAGTTGTTGTGTCAGCCATTAGTTGTTTTGATGCCATTCTGTCAGTGCTTCGTTTAGACATAAAACTGATAACTATTCCTTTCTTCTGCATGAAAATAGCTCTCAAAATAATAATTTAGTATTTTGAAATTGCCCACCACCCAATTACTTGCCATAACCAATACTTGCTAATACCGGGGTGGGGTGGGGGGAAAGGGGTGTGTGTGTGTGTGTGTGTATATATACATACACTATATATATATACACACTATATATATGTGTATATACTATAAATGATGAGTTTTGTGTGGTGTCCGTCCGCCCCCCCCCCCCCCCCCCAACTTGCAAATAGTGTTAAACTGTAAATTTTACACCAGTACCTGGCTCAGTGGGGAATAATATGCTCTTCATGGCAAATATGGATTACCTGTCACAGAACTTAAAAAGTACATTTCTGTTTTGATATTTGTGGAGATAAGCACTCTCTATTCAGGAAGTACTAAATGGCATGAGGAATTATGTTATGCCTTTTGTCATTGCTCGTAGGTTCACAAAACAGGAAGAATGGGAATAATAAAGTCTTTGATCAGTTTTACCACTGCTGTTTAAAAATCACAGGGAAGCAAGTAAAGTAGATTTTAGCAGTTGAAAGTGACTTGACTGGCAACATTTTGGTTATTTCAATATATGTCAATTTTATGCATCTGTGAATTTATTAGTATTCCCTATCCACAAGCAAATACAATGAAAGCATCTGAGAAGGAATCAGAAATTGATCAAATAATACATACTTAATAAATATATACCCAAATGTGTCTAGAACAGCTCAGAGACACGTTGACAGAATTTTTCATTACTTTTGGGGATTGTTTTCCTTTTCTGAAGTCAGTGGGGGGGAAAAGTTGCATTGATTGCAAGAAGTTGTTATCTCTGTGGCTTGCATTTCTTAATGACATAACCAGGAAACATACCATCTTCTCTGAACTGGCTGTGTAAACCATTGCTCTTTGAGTTGATTCACTTTAAAGATCATCCCCCCCCAAAATTCTGAAATAGCAGAGCATTCGCATATTCTTTTGTTTCTTTAGGTATTAATAAATGACTTAATACCAGTAAAGCGCAATGTTAATCAGGAATGGCTCTAATATGAAGTGCTCTCTTTGCGAAATCATTGGTACCAGCCCCATCCACAAGTGATAGTGTAAAAGGAGGAGGTGCTGCACGGGATTCTGAGAAATACCAATTAAAACTTAACAATTCAGTGCCCTGTCTTCCCTGAATGTCAGTCCAAGACAAGAGTGGTGCTAAATTTAACAGATGTGTAATATATGCAGGTCATATCAGGGCTTTAGATTGGTTGGGGTTTTTTTTTACACAGAAAGAAAAAATCATGATAAGGAACACTATATAAACTTAATTACAATAGTTTTTTGTTAGGGAAGATATATTACAACAGGGTTTAGGTATAATTTATAATAATTGGGTGACTGTTAACTGAAGTCTGATTCTTATACGATTTAGCAAAAATTATCTGAATTACTCAAAGTTTAGCAAATAATTGCAGAGCAAAATTCAATTATATATAACAAATACTAATTATTACAATAATTTCAAAAATTATTTTAGTCTTAGCCAGTCAGAAACAATGCAGAATATTCATCAAGAACAATCAACTTGTACTATTAAAATGTAATCGGGCACCCCCCCACTCCATAAAGGATGTTGTGTGGTACGGTTGAAGAAATTTTTAAAATGTAAAAACAGTCTTTGTCAAACTCACCTATTTTCTTCTAATTAAAACAGCTACAGTAAGAAGTGAAAATGTAAAGTTCAAATCATTTGAACTTGAATTGCTTGAGCAACACTTCCTGGGGATACTAATGGCTGAATGCATTGAGCATTTGTTTAAGTGAACAAACACTTCTTTCTGTTATTTATTACTCTAATTTATGATAACGTTTCAGTGTTAGGCTGCCAAGGCAGAAATCCTATCTTCTGCCACTTTATCAGATTCAATTAGATAACGTTTACATTTTGCAAATATGAACATGCCTCGTACACATACCCTACAGCATGTCTTTGTTACTGAGAAGCCAAGACGTTAATGATACGGTCATCCTCTGGTTACCTGTCTGCAGGCATCAAAAGAGGAAAAGGAATGAAATTTGTATGTTGGAACAGTGAGTTTCCTGATAGTTACAGAGGTAGAATATTGTGTAAGGTTCCTTTTGTTTATTCTTCAAGGTGTTTATTTACTCATGAGATCTACTGTTCTTTGCCAGCCTGTAGGCACTGAAGGAAAATCTGTAAAAGTAAAGCTTAAAAATATTTGGACTCCGAAGAGGGGGGGAAAAAAAAAGGGGTGGGGGGAAGGATATTAAATTTTAATTTAGAAGACTGCACATTACCTTTCTGTGGTGGAAAGATTTTTTTTCTTTCAAGAGTCCCTCCTGCAGCAGAGCTGGGACAGTTCTGCACTGCAAAAGATCCCTATGACAAAGGGTGTGATACCCTGCCAATTCCATTGGATATCCAGAGGTAGGAGTTTATAGTAGAGGCTGAATGGGTGGAAGACTGAGAAGATCCACGGACTGTTCTTTCTCTGTTGTTAAATGAGACAGGTGCAGAAGGTCCTGGGACTCTCTGCGGCTACGTGGCTGAATTAGTGTGTACGGTCTGTCTCCCAGACTGCTGCAGGTGATTTTATTGCAGGGGGAACTTGCTTCAACACTTGTCTAGCCTATGTTTTGGAAGGAAAAGTAGAATGAGCAATAAGATAAAAGTAAAAACAAAACAAATTCTAATTGAAGCCTTATTTCCCTCTGAAATTGAAGCCTTTCAATTTTTTCCTTTTGACTGCAATTTCCTCTTTTCAAGTGAGACCTCTTGGTGAGCCCACCTCAGAGACAGTCGTGGCAATATGTGCGTGCTGCGATGCTGTGCAGAAAGCCAGTGTCAATTTGTGAAGGAGCGGGAGGGGAGGTAGGTGGGAGCATGTGCAGAGGTAACAGCAGAGGTGACGTGAATAAGGTCAGAAAGAGTGGTCGGGCATGGCGATATACCCATTGGTATCTACTCTTGTCGTTTATCCTCATTATCTGTTGTTTCCTCCACACCGTTACACAGTGTGTTTTGGTTTGCAGGCATCCCTTGACGTCATCCCAGAGAGCAGGGAAGGCTATTAAAAATTCACCGAGTTATTCCCTCCCCTTACGTGTCAAGGCAGTTCATATCACAATCTTTTTATGTAAAGAGCTCCTCAGGAGGGAATGTAAATGTGTTTGTTATTTTTTTAAATAGTACCTGTGACTTATTGTCAAATTCCAAAAATTATGGAATAGTTGCGTTATTTTTAAAGTAAATAGCCATGTCATTTATTGGCATTTAGAGCAAATTCCTAAGTACACAAGTGCTCTAAAAGGGGTTCACACTTTTTTTACTGTGCTTAAGAAATGATGATTTATGTTACATAATTTATGTCAGTTTGAAGAGCTTTAGATGTCAGTGTTTTCAATGGAAGTACTGAAGAACTTTGTGATTATGTGTATTTTCTATTGAAAAACCTACTCTTTAGCCTGTGTAAGGATACACAGTAGTCACTGCACGTTTAACTTGAACTCTGAATATGGATAAAATGACATTGTGTTTTGACACTTCCAAATT